GAGGTGTCAAACTCATCGGGCACCGGGCTGGCCCAAGGGACCAGATTGGCCCCAGATTCCCCACCCCTTCCCCCTTCCCTATCATGCACTGCAGGTGGCACCCGTTCTGGCTGGATCAGGACACAAAATGCATGTAGCACCTCCGCTGGAGCCTGTGCTGCATAGAGCATCAGTCCTGGACCAGCTGGAAGAGGTTCTGGATCTGGAATGCAGGGGACACACAGCTGGAGTGGACACTGCACATGGCTTGCATACTAGACTGGTCAGGATGGGCTGTGTGCACCACAGTCCTGGACTGGTGGGGCAGACACTGCGGGCTCTGGTTTCAGAATGCTGGGGCATCCTGGTCTGGCCTTGTGTAGAGCCAGCAGCACCTGAGGTTGGATGATGTGTCTTTTCAGACCCAATCTTTGACATCCCTGGTTTAAAGTGTACGTGTGTAATTTCTAAAATTTAGGATATGTGTAGTTGAATATATTTTTCTGAACTTTCTTTTCTTCTTTATGGTTTTTGATCTTTTTAGACTCCTTCAGCAGTTGTACCTCCAAACCATTTGACTACACTATTAGCAAATAGTTTTTGGCCCAGTAGTAATTTTCAAATCTCTTGGTCTTATTTTTATAATGAGAGGTATTATAGCATATCCAAATAGTATTCGCCCTGTCACCCTTCTAAGTTGTTCAACATTGCTACAGAAGAAATTGGGTATATGTTATCTGAAATTCAGTAAAGGTAGTTGTAATTCTCTTATCCCATCTTCTCTGAAAGCCACTCCTAGCCATTTTCCTGTTTTATTCTTGCTTTTCTCCATTTTCTCCTAAATTCTTAAATAAAATACCCCACTTGGTTAGTAGCTTTTAATAGGCCAGCTTCCTGGTAAAATTTCTGATTTGATATTTAATGTATGAACTTTCTACCTCCTCTTCAATAAAGGGCCTGAGTGGGAGAAGAGAGGGTTTGTTTTTTTTTCATGATTTGCTTCATGAAAAGAATTTGCATATTTTTAAGTACTCAGGTGGCAGCAGCAGTTTCCCACAATGCTTAATTCAGTATTTGACATGATTCAAGGAAGTATAGGGGACAGCAGTTGTTTAGAACTTCAAGCCCTTTTGAGCCGAAGGGAGGTGACCATTTTCAGCTCATTTTCAGCTGCCTGGTGACCATTTTTAGCTGATCTTTTTTCTGTTGAAACAAATTGTATGGGCTTCTAAATAACCATACGGCATAGACTGCTAAAAAAGTTTTTCAGTAATAAAGGAATTGAAATTGCTTGCTATGGTACAACTGAAGCCAAAAGGAAGGTGGGTTTTTGGGGATAAAGGGTGTGTGTGGATGTGGGTGAAAATTGTAACGAAAAGGTGTTGGAACCCTCTCCTTTCTATTTCCTTTAGTCTTTCCATTGCATATTGCATTTATTTAAAAAAAAAAAAAAAAAGTACTACATAGTCTTCTACCATCTCCAAAACTTTGTGCTTAAAGTTCCTATTTAAGGTTAAAGAACTGTACGTTAATTGTGGTAGGCCCCGCTTGTGTTTGCTAGCAGACTGTTAGTGCACTTTTCTTGAGACTGACAGAAAAAAACAGAATACGAACTCTGCTTGGAGCCTTAATTATACACTTCTTATTATTTTACATAGTTTTGTGTGACTGTAACACTACAGGGGCTGAACAGTATTAGAATATAGTTATGGCCAGTGTATGCAATGTGTTTTCCACTTCAGTAAATAATGCATAGTTATTTACAGTGATTTATCACTTGGACTGTTGGATTGCATATAGCTTTTCATACATCCTAGTGACGCAGCCTAATCAGATCAATTATACGTATGAAAAGCCACTACTTTTGTATTTCTAACAAAATTTGAAGTCATTTACAAATAACCAATTAGACCATTTCACCAGGGTATGCTGAAGAAATAAGTTTGTCCTCTAGCTGTGTTTATTTTAAAGTTATAGATGAGGTTTAAATCCATCACAGCAGTGCATGTTTTACTTTCCTCTGCTGACAGGTTATAACTTCAGTAAAGAGAATATATTATTGCCCCTTGGCTAAGTATAGCTTGTTTCAAGGCATTTCACTAAATCTGTTTCCATTGTTAGAGAAATTGTTGGCACAACGTTGAATTTGTTTATTCTGTTTACAGTTGCATTGGTCTTAAATGGAGGTAGCTGAAACTGCAAGCAGACATGCACCTTTAAAGAGGCATTGGTTGCTTTATCACTGTTGTGCTACCCAGGAATAGCTTTCCTTGTCATTGTCCCTCTTGAACTCAGTCTTCTTGACAGTGTTCTCAGGGTGCCACTCTTCATCAGTCATGCTTCCAGTTGCTGTGGCACGTTCCTTTTCCTGTCAGTTTCTCACAATTTAGCACAAAAGGAAGAACAGTAAATTCTTCCCACTGCCGGGGTGGTGGCAGGGGGGGGAAGATGGTGGGGAAAAGAAAGAGTACTCTTCCAGTTCTAATAATTAAAGAACGATTTGAATTGTTTAAATCAGTGTTTCTCAACCTTTTCAGGGTCATGATACCTGACCTCCACTTACTTGAATGTGGCAGCCCCCTCAGCTGAGAGCCACTATTGGTGCTGCCTCAGTTTACCTCAATGCTTCTTAGCCTGGTTATGCTGCGTCCAGATGAAACTGCCCTACATGCCTGTTGCACAGCCAGCTGGCCCTGCATGCAACAGCTCCTGCATGAAGAGTCTGTAATCAGCTGAAGGCAGGCAGGAGCTGCCTCGTGCTGTGTAACCCGGCCTCGTCTGGCACCACAGTCCTCTAAGAAACAGAAGCGGACTCCCACATCTGTTTCTGGGAGGAATATAAGGGGTACTGGACCAGGAAGTTTTGCACAGTACAAAGCAGCTTTGCTTGGCTGCCTTAAGACGACTACAGGGAGAGCATGTGGGGTAGTTTTACCTGGCCACTGCTGCTTTGGCACGTCTGAGCCATCTGCGGTGCCTCGGTTGAGAACCACAGATTTAAATGCCGGTTACCCTAAGATGGACACAGAGATACAGAAGCTTTGATCATGCTAGTGAGTGGGCAGATACCCTGCAGCTTCTGTAGATCATTAGTTAAGCTTCTCATGTCAGACTTTATAAATGAAAGGTTACTTTTCTCTTACCTAGGCTTCTGAAGGTCACATAAGTAACTTTCAGTCAGTGCTATTTAGAATCAGTGCTATTTCCTTAAAATAATAATATTAAGAGAAGACGTTTAAATACCACATTTCTTAAAACTCACAGTAGCTTTATAGCAGTATGTCAGGGGACATCATTACTCCACATTTTGTATTTAGCAGTATTTTTTATTTTAGTATGTTTGGCTTCCGTTCCTCCAATGTAATAAGTCCCGAGACACATTCTCATAGGCTTCGGGTTTTTTTTAATAGTTCCATTGCTATTCATTGTTCATTCAATAGAACATTTTACAGTTACAACATATAAATTAAGTGTAAAATAGTATATTCTTTCTGTTCAGGTTGGTGTAGATTCAGGTACTTTTAAGTCTGGATGGCCAGATGCATTTGTTTGCATTGATTGACATTTCACAAACCAAAAGAAAAGCTAAGAGTTAGTAGAAGAATTTTTAAATAATTTGGAATAAAAAGTCTGTTCTGAACTGACATGGTTTGCTTTGCATTTCTTTAAAACATGAATTAGTATTTAGTAGTACTAGGCTTGTCCCCCAAGGAGTTTTGAGAGACCCTATGTTAGGTCCAGCATGTTTTCTTTATTTCAGGAGTTGTTTAAAAATGCCTCTGGCCTTGTGGGGTAGGATAAAGTATTTAAGTCGGTAATCAATAAATCTTTTCAGTAACACTTAATTACAGCACAGTTCTAGCTGTATTTTAATATTACCACATTATCATGACAGTTTAATATTTCCTATTTAGAAAGCTGCAGTGACAGGAAAATGCTAGCAAACTTTGTTCTCCATTCAAGACAGGTAAGGTTAATTAGTGTCATCCTAGACAACTGAATTGGCCTGGAGATAAACCAGTGTTTTATAGCTGTACATTTTGGAACAGAAATTGGTATTTATAAGTATGTAAGATCAAATAACATGTCAAGTTTTGTAGAGTTTTCTGTTTAACTAACTTGGCTCAGTTACTTCTGAAATATTTTTGACTCTACCTCAAGGTAACATTAAAACTTAGCACAGATATGGTACTATGTAAATAAGGCAATTGGCATTCCTTTGCTTATGAGAAGTTCTGTAGAATGACTATGGATGCTGGACTAACTTCTCTTGAGGTATTTTAAATGCGGTTTCTTAGCACTCTGGAGGAAAGCAACAGAACAAATTCTTGAGTAATTAATGTGAGTGTCTACATTACTGTTCACTTGAAAATGCCAGGTTATTTATCTGCTTATTCACTTTTTTTAATTCTAAAATGATCTAGGGAGCAGTGTTATGAACAGTTTCTGAAGTGTCATTCCTTTCCATAAATTCTTTTCTTCCTCCATACAATGTGACTGTTAGTTCTTAAATAAGTTTTGTTCTTTTTATGGTTATCCTAAAAGAAAAATAATTTCTGAAGAGGAATTAGTTCAGTAGGAAATTGATTTTCTTTTACATGTGCAACCCAATATTTTTTATGTTTTGCTTTGCAAATGAATACATTTTAGAGTTTCTTAAGTTTTTGCTTGAGATTTTTCATGTGCGTTTGGTATATAATATCTTGCAATTAAAAATTCTAAGCTATACTTGCTTGCCAGAAGGCATCTGAAGTAGTTCATTTTCCCCCAAATAAGATGAGCCTGTAAAAGATTTTCTGAAAATTCAGTATGCTCGTATAATTTGTAATAAACCCAAGCTGTTCAATCTTTGTCTCTGTAATATTAAGTATCAAGCCCCCACTTTCCTATTTTTCGACTGAAAATGTGATTTTTATAATTCATTAAATTGATTTGTTCTTGTTATTTCTAACTTCTGGAGCCAACGTAACGATACTTCATACTCCATGTTTGTTTGACTTTTACTTTTTTTTTTTTTTAAGGAGGAACAAAATAGAGGCAAACCCAACTGGGAACACCTGAATGAAGATTTACATGTACTAATCACTGTGGAGGATGCTCAAAACAGAGCAGAAATCAAGCTGAAGAGGGCTGTTGAAGAAGTAAAAAAGTTACTGGTACCTGCAGTAAGTAATCCTATCCATACATTTTGTCTTAAATGTTAAGGAGTGACTTCTGAAATGCAGATCTCAAGTACCATTCCAGTAGGAAGAAAAAAAAGCTGTAGTCTAGCAGATTCTGGCCCTATAGCCCAATCTTGTGCTAGTTTATAAGTGTATTGTGTGTTTATAAAGTAATAAGCAAAATTAGTTTATAACATTTCCATTGGAGTAATTCCTTATTGTTCAGAGAAATGATCTTTTTAGGCTATAGAGAAAAAAATACTTGGTAACAAAATGTAGGCAGAATTTTTCTACAGCCTTTTTAAAAACTAGGAGTTGTGCTGTTTTGTTTTTAAGTCATTGTTGCTGGCCAGTGGTTTTGGTTATGCCAGAAAATCATTATAGTCATTAAGTGAGCCGATAGCGGGCCAACTTTATTATGGTGTGGACTTGGAGCTCCAATTCATATTGGGATTTTACATGCTGCCCGAATGAGAATATTTCATAGAAACTAAAGTTTGTTCAGACAGATTTGTCAGAGCTGCAAAATGCAACAGGTCTTTTTACAGATTCTTTATCACTTTTACACTTGTTGAGGGAAACTAAATTTGATTTAATATTGCTTGTATATGTAACTATTGTAAATGTCCCTTATCATTCAAGCCTTTAGTGCTGAAATTTGTATGCGTTAGCAACAGAACGCCATGGTTTTATTAAAAGGATATTTGGAGTACCAAATAAGTATTTTGCTCCCAAACGAAGAATGAATTGATCTGTAAAGCATGCGAGTTGTAATGTTAGATCTCAAGTAGGCTATAAAGGAATAAGATTCATTTGTTCCTTATTTTTAGCCATCCATAACAGGCAGTGAAAGAGCTTCCTTTGTGTACCATAAGCTGTTAAAAGAGGTTAACATCTCCAGTTTTAAATCAAACCATTGCCACTAAACCCTTTTTTCAGTGGTTTATAACTAGTATTTGTAAATGCAAGCCAAATATCACATTTGAGAGATGATTATTTGGCTATTTTAAATGGTAATAGACTACAGACTTCTCTATGGGTCCTGTACCTCCAAGTCATTTGTATATAAAACATTTTTGGTGGATTAAATACTGTAATTTGTTCCAGAATGGTCCAGTATTCTGAACTAAAAGTTTTAGTTTATGCTAATTAATTAAATATATAATCAAGCTTTTGTTATGTAGTTTAATATTTAACACATGAAAGCTTAAGAGAGTGCACTTTCTGTTGAGCAGATTTCCTCAATAAATGTGAGCCCAAGCCATCAAGTTCTACAAACATATTTAGAGGGTTTTTTTCATTAGTGTTCTGTCGCTTAGCCTCCCAAACATGAAAGAGAGCTAATTTTTATTGCATTTCTCAATCTGCATGCTGACAGCCCCAGAGCTTCAGCACGTGGTCAGAGTTTTTTAGCAGAATAAAAATCCAGTTTCCAGTTATTTCTTCTGCTGCCCTTTCTCTGAAGCTCCAGCGTTATTGCCATGGGCAGGGGTGTCTCAAGTCATTCTGGTCCATTGGCATTAAGGTCTGTTCCATTGGCATTGAGGCACTGTTCAACAGTGATTAGAGTTGAATTTCTGGACATAAACGGCTGACAGTATCTAATCTGTTAAACTGAAAGATCCTGAAAAATTGGCTGCTTTTAACAGTTCTGGAATCTGTTGTGATGTTTAGGTATCTGTTGGTAGTGTATATCGATGCACTATGGCTGCTTGCAGATGTTTAAAAAAAAAAAGGGCTTTACCAGAAGAACTACTTTGACCCAGCTCTGCAGCATCTGTATAGATCAGGTGCATCAGCGGAGCTTTTTGGTGCTTTTAGCTAAAGCTGATACAATCATCTATTAGATTAATGGGGCTTTTTTAGTCCTTCTAAGTGCCCGATCCATATAGACACCGCAGAGTTGGCCCGACTAAGACGCTGTCTCTTGGGCATGTTCTGGTTTTGGCTCAGGAACGTGTTAAGTTTAAAGCGCTGCTTTTAACATCTGCAAGCAGCCTTTGTTACTATAATTTATCTAGGTTTATTACTGCTTTATTAATGCATCTGGTTCATCTGACAAGTGAAAAATATAGTTGTTTAAAAGTGAGAGAAATTTTGAAATGAGGCCATTTTCAATCCTAATCCTGTCCTCTAATGTGTCTACTTCCCCAGCAATTTTGGTGTCAGCCACGGATTAATAAATGTACACTCAGTTCCATTCTCCTAGTCATTAATGAAGGTATTGAGCAGTATGAGAACATGGGCAAGACCCTAACATATACTTCCTCCTAGCTTTATATTTAGCTATTGCTTGGTACTTTTCCTTTTGAGTACCATTATCCAACCTGTTTCACACCCACCTTTATATAGTTTCACCTAGACCCAGGGTATCAAACTTGCCCAACTGCCTGGGTCCTCCATCCACACCCCTCCTCCATTGCTATTTTTGGTACCTTTTCAGTTTTCTGGGACCTTACCAGAGTTGTGTTGCCTTTTGTCTACTCAGCCCCAGGTCTCCACCACCTTATTTAGGATGCAATTGTAATATTTCTCTTTAAGGAGAGAACAATTCAGGAGCAGATTAGTTCAGCAGTCATGTCCCCCTCTCTCAGCAATCTGAACCTCCATGTCTTTCAATAGGCCTTTCCCAAATTTGGTACTTTTGTTGTAGGTCTGCTTCACTCAGTTCTGAGGTGCTGTTTTCCTCCTATTATTCACCCAAAACTGCTTTTGAAAATCAAGAAAGATAAGGCAGCCTATCTGAAGTGTGACTTTTTTCCTGGTTAAAGTTGAACTGTACCTTTCTGCGTAGCTTATTCCTAAATTGAGCTCATTTGTCTTCTGTTCATTTATCCTGTCTGATTTCTTTGGATGTTAAGAGCTTTAAAGTTTTATTTACCCCATTCTCTGAAGTTCTTAAAAGTTAATATTCTTTTGTGGGTCAGTACGAAAGAAATATGTTCTAACACTATATGTTATTGCTTCTCAGCCTCTTATAAGCTAAAATCACATGTAGTCCTTGTTAAGGGTAATCACCTGTGTCCTCTTCATGTCAGGAAGTATTCCTCCAAGACTATTGTGCAGTGGAGGCTGCATCATTTGTTGTGTTAAGCTGCTGCATGATCATAATAGCACAGATGTAATAAACTCAGCCAGCTGGATGATGTCTGTAGCTATTCATGTTATCCATACAGATGTCATATCCCTCTTTGATAGTTACATCCACCTGTCGTCCCAATTGTCTTTTCTGTAAGATGGGAAAAGATGAATTTATGACAAAGGGATAATTACTTATCAGCAGTTCTGTGTTCTCTGTCTTCTCCCATCCTGTATCCCACTTTTATTCTGTGGAATGGTGATACATTTTTGGCACCTCCATATGCTGCTTTATTTAACATCCAGAGTTGAAGGGCTGATTTAACCTAAACCAGGCAGCATTTTCTTACAAAACTTTTGCCTCTGCTTCTGGGTAGGAGCAGCTATAACCTGAGTGGATGTTCTTTATTTCCATCTAATGGGACAGGAGAGGACTACAAAAAAGAACAAACAGTAATTTTCCCAGATTGTCACTATTAAGCCTTCTACAGCATAGGCTGTTACGGTGTTTGTAGACTGCAATGGATAGGAAAGATTTGCGTCTATTTTAAAAAAGAAAGGGGGCGGGGGATAATTTTGTATGTATATTTGGTATTTTGCTGTTACTATAGCAGTAAGACTAGACTCATGGGAGAATTGTAAGTGCAACAGGACGCCATCCTGGCTTATATAGCAACCTCTTCAATGAGTTAATACTCAAAAAGGAAGCCAACAAGTTGAAATTTTGTCATTGTACTAGGGAAGAATATCAGGATATCGCATGGGCGTTCAGGGAGAAAATTAGGAAGGCCAAGGTACAATTTGAGATGCAACTGGCAAGGGACTGAAAAACAATTAAAAGGGCTCTGCAAGTGTGAAAAGTAAGATGAAAACCAGAGAAACCATAGATCTCTTACAGTATTCAAAAGGCAGGGTAGTAATGGACAGTGCAGAGAAAGCTAAACTTTATAATATCCTTTTTTTACGTCAGTCCTCACAAATAGGGGCAGATAACAGATGAGTGCAGCAAAGACAGGAAAGTAGAAAAGCAGCCTGGAGTACTAGCAGAATAGGCTGGTGATTAATGTAGAGAAGCTAGATGCTTTTGAGTCAGCACGGCCATATAGGATATACCCTAGGGTACTAAATTAATTTCACAGCCATTAGTTATCCTCTTTGAGAACCTGTGAGGTCAGGTGATGTTGGATATGATTGGAAACAAGCAAATAAAGTGCTCATCTTTAAGAAAGGGAAAAAGGAGGATCAGAGAATTACAGACCAGCGAGCCTGACCTTGATACCTGGAAATATTCTGGACCAGGTCCTCAAGGAGTCTTTTGTGAAATACCTAGAGGAGAACAAGGTGATCAGGAACAGCCAGCATGGATTCACCAAGAGCAAGTCATGCCTGACCAGCCTGTTTCCTTTTATGATCAGGTGACAGGCTCTGTGAATGGGGGGGAAACTGGATGTAATGCATCTTGACATTAGCAAGACTTTTGATACTCTCTCTCACAACAGTCTCAATATCAAGCTAAGGAAATACATACTTAGATGAAGGTACTGTAACATGGATATATTTGGATCATCTTGATCAATGAGTAGTTATCAATGGCTCAATGTCTAGTTGGGAAGAGAGATCAAGTGGGGTTCCCCAGGGGTCTCTTCTGGATTTGGTACTGTTCAACATCTTCATTAATCATTTGGATAATGGAATTATGTGCCTGTTGCAGATGACACGAAGTTGGGTGGAGTTGCAGGCACTCTGGAGGTCAGGGCTAGAATCCAGCACAACCTTGCTTGTCAATAAAAATGGTACACAATTAACCAGATGAGATTTAACACAGACAAGTGGAAAGACTGGCACTTGGGATGGAATAATTGTATGCACATATACAGACTGGGGAATGAGAGGTTAGGCTGCAGTACTGCAGAGAGAGACCTGTG